AGAGAGAGAGAGAGAGAGAGAGAGAGAGAGAGAGAGAGAGGGGAGGTTAAGAAGAGAGAGCGATCGTTGTAACGAGCTGGAAAAACTTGGAGAGGAGCGTAAGTTCGGATTATCTGGATGGGTCCAATTTCAATACAATGCTCTCGCCTTTCTTAATGCCCCTTCAACGGCCAACTTTCTCTCGAGTGGAAGAGGGAATGGAAACGCGGAGATTACGGCCGGCATCTTTTTCCGCTCGAAAATACGCGAACGAAAGCGATTACACGGTAATCCGTGCCCTCGTTTAGCTCCTGTTCGATAAAGAACCGGTTATTGGAAATGTGCAATTTTATCACATGTATATTAAATACTTCTCATCTTATTATATGGAATAATTTTCGATGATGGTTAGATGTGGATATGGTTGGAGAAAAATGAGAAATGATACGTAGAAAGTCGAAACAGATCGAATATTGGAATATCAGGATCGATATTTTTAAAACATTTATATCTTTTTCATATATATTTATATATTCCTATATCCTATAAAGAAAGGAAGAAAAATGGGTAAATTATTTTTTTTTGATGTTTTTTTGATTAATAATTCTTACATGGGTAGAGGTATGTAGATTTATAAAGTATGCATCGGGAAATACCTATATAGAATTCGTGAAAATTTTATTTCCTATGGAATGAATTTTTAGAGAGGAACAACGATAGTGAGAGTGCATATCTAGGATTAGAGCGAAATGCCTATGAATTTATTATTCTATTTACTATTTGATATATTGTCCAAATTCCTCTATCAAATTCCACAAACCATAGATTCTGAAAAATTTATTAATAATTCTAATCTTCAGCTAAAATTATTAATCGAATAGATATTTTTAAATCAAAATTATTAGAGGATAAATCTTCTAACAAATCTCAATCTCGATTTTTCGAATCAAAAATTGTTTCGATATCGATGTTAAAATTCGAACCTCTCTGATTAGAAATTTAAAAGATTATTAAATATTAAGAAATATTTTAATACATAATTCATCTGAAATCAAAATTAATAAATTTCAAAATAAATTCTCGATTCCAAAAGCAAAAATTTCATCGATATTAAAGCAAAAACCGATTCACCTCATCGTTCCACTATTATCATCTTTCACAAGTATTTACACAGCTCGACACCGTTTCATCGTGCCGAATTACGATGGACTGTATCGAAAGTTTAATAACAAACGGGGGGCATTCGTCGAGGTGTACACGCATGATCGCGGGCATATTGCACGCGGTACGCACACCGAGGGATTGTGTCGACCACCTGGACGTCGTCGATGGTTGATCGATCGGCTCGAACGAGAGAGCCCTGGATGCTCGGATGGGCGGCCAGCCATCGCGTTTCATTTTACCGCTCGCCACCGCATTTAATTTATTCCCGCGCTTCCGTTTCTCCATCCATCCCCGCCGAATTTCGACGTTGATTCATGTACATGGCCTGTCCGCTTACTCGGTAATCTTGAGCTTTGTCGCTTTGGTCGAGGCTTGATTGAGCCGCTCTTGCCCTTGTAGGCCATGCGATCATGTCCGTGGAAATTGTGCTGTGATCATTTCAAGGGTGGATGGATGGATGGATGAAGGGGATGATAATTGACATTATTATTATGTAAGAATTATCAATTTTTGTTCGATACCTTGTATATTATGTCGGATAAAATGATACAAGGGGATTAAAAGTTTAATCGAACGAATTTTTACGAAAATAAAAGTATCAGGGTTTTCTAGGGTTCCCTAGAATAGATAAAATCCACTAGGATCTTTTCGTTTTGCAATCACTCGTAGATTCATCAAGTCTTGTAGTTTCGATTAAACGTACGAATAAATTTTTCTCCATTAATTTATCATTATTATATGGAATCGAATAAGTAAATTGAACTCATCGAACTCATCAAAATATTTTTAAATTTACCGAACCGCGAAACACGCGCCAGCCAGTATCATATGTCAATCCCTTAACGATCGAGTGGCTCACTTTTTCGACCAATCCTGTTCACGATTGCTTCGTTATCTGCGCGTAACAACACAGTACGGTTGCCGATTAGACAAACGAGAGCAATATAAGCGGAAACAACGACAAATCGCAGCTTTTTCGACCAGTGTTCGATTCGTTACTCGTTTCGCCGGCCATTTTTGTGCGCGTTCGCGCGCAATACCTTTGCCCAGTGACATCTGACAAATCCTCTTGTGACATTTTGTCGTCATTTTCATCTCGATCCCAAATAAATCCTCCTAAAAAAAAAAAAAAAAAAAAAAAAAAAAAACACCGACTTCTCTTCGGCGTTGTTACCGTCGAATCTTTACCGCTAGTCTCGGCCTTTCCTCTTGTTTCCTCGCTACGAAGAAAGACGAAATTTTCCTTATAAGTTTTCGAGAATATGAAAACTTTTCTCGAATCGTGTT